ATAACTGAAGTATAAAACTAACTTGTTCAAAAGTTATTGGCTGTTAAAAATGATGAAAAAAACATTTTTTCTTGTAGAGTGAAATTTCATGCATAATAGCCCACTACTTAAGCGTTTTTTCAAGAACCATATTAGATATTGAACTAAAATTTTCAAAACATGCTTTTCACATATATATGTACAAAATTAAAAAATTTCAATAAAATCTGAGATGGTCCATGAGGGACCTTTGCACCACTTGGCATGGAATGACCCATAATATACATTTTTTAGTTTTTTAAACTATGAAAATAAAAATAAATACAGTTTTAGAGAAACCCTATTTATTTCAATTTTGAAAAAGAAAATAAAAAAAACTTTTCAACATGAAATATATACATTTTCTCAAAATAAAGTAAGAGACTTTATTTTGAGAAAATGTAAAATTAAATACCAAGAAAATAATAACCTTAAGATTCTAAAAAAAGCACCAATAGCAGTTGTGACAAAGTTTAGTATTTAAGATTGTGTATACGAATATTATAATGTAAAAACATAAGCATTTCTCCAATTCCAGAGTCAACCTATTTCCTCGTGGAGAATAAATTTGTCTTCCACAACTGAACAATCATTCACTTTCAACAGAATATGGCGGGCATGACAAAATAAAAACAACATTATGGTAATAAAAGTATAAGTGCATTTAGCTGCTAAGTTAAAGCTTATAAAGATCATCTTAAGAATAAACAAATTTGTCTGTAGTTATACATAAAGTTTAGTTAATTTATTATTTAATAATTATCATAACGCAGGATAAAAATATTAAAATGCCATTGGTTGGAAAATTGGTAAATTAGTAAAAAAAGGCTAGTACCAATTCTGATTGTGTAAATAAGCTGATTAAGTTAATTTCGATGCTGACTAATTGTTAACTAGCAATTACAAATTACAGTTCAACCCCCTATGCTCTTATTGATTTTACAGAGGTTATTTGAAAAGCAGTAGATAAAAATAAGTTTACTTTTTGTGTATTTATTGACTTAAGAAAGCTTTTGACACAGTAAACCATCATATCCTTCTCACCAAGTTAGCATGTTATGGAGTTCCTGTGAACTGGTTCAAGACCTTATTTAAACCATAGACACTAATTTGTAACTATAAATGAAATTACCTCCTATATCTAACCTGTCAATTCAGGAATCCCTCAAGGATCTATGCCTGAACCTCTTCTATTCTTGGTATACATCAATGAATTAAACATGCTTAATAATGTATCTACATTTTGCTGATGATACTAATTTACTTATAATTAAAGAGTCTGTTGACAAAGTTCAAAATAAAACCAATGAGGCTATATCATCAATTTTTAACTAGCTTTTAGCTAATTAAATCTCACTCAATGCTAAAAAAAACCCAAGTAGTATTCTTTAAAACAAAAAATTAATTAGCAACTAAATTTTTATATTAATGGAGAGATATTACCTTCTTAATTAGTAAGGTATCTTGGAATTATGATGGATGAAAATCTTTTAAATACCATCACTCTTATTTACAGTCAAAATTAAGTCAATTTATATGTTATCTAGAGTAAAGCACTTTGTCAACTTAAAAAATGTAACCACTATATTTGGATCTCACATATGATGTGCTTGCCAAATCTGAGGAAAACATAAAAATCAATCCTTGAAAAAAAATTTCTTTACTTTAAAATAAAGCCATTAAAATTACCTAATTTCAGAATGACCATTTTGACAAAGACTCTTTGTTATTTAACCATAAAATAAAGTTGTATCATTATCATACTTAATGTGTACACCTCATTAAATTATTACTTCAATATTTAGCATTTATTATTGCATTTATATTATATATTTAGATGGTATTTTTTTCTTCATCCTATTATCTTACTTTAATTCAATAATTTTTGTCTTGGTAATAATTATTTTTCTCCTTCTATTCATTCTATTAAAAATTTTTATTTATTATTTCATTATTTTAATCAGTTATTATTATTATTATTATTACTATTGTTGTTGTTATTATTATTATATATAGGCAACTTTGACTTTTATTCTTTAGTCACTGTGTTGTGCTTGTCTGTTATATTATTATTATTATTATTAATATTTTTTTAATTTTTTTTTATAAATATTAACCATTAGATTATTATTTTGTTTGTTTGTTTTCTTACAAAGTCTCTGCTTTACATTGTCCCTTCACAAAAATATTGTTGTAATATTTATACAATATTGTTAATGGTATTTTTCTTTTGTGAAGAATATATATTGATTAATTGATTGATTAACCAGAATATCTCTTAACAGGAAAAAATAAAATAAAATAAAAAAACACTAAAAAGTTTTTAAAGATTTGTACTTATTGTTGCCAAAACAATATTAAAGCAATAACAATAGTAAATTCTTAAAAAACAATATTATTCTTAATTATGATTATTTTATAATTATGATTAATTATTATTCTTAATTATGATACTGCAAAATCTTTTTTATCAATGTGAGCT